GCCCCCTTGACCTGTCCGTCCTCCTTGGACTGACCTATCTCCTCCCTACCTCCCCACCTACACTCACCTTTCCTGGCTCCATCCCTGCCTCTTTGACCTGTCTGTCTCCTCTCCACCTATCTTTTCCTCTATCCATCTTCTATCCGTCTCCCCCTCTCTCCCTATTTATTTCAGAACCCCCTTCCCCTCCCCCATTTCTGAAGAAGGGTCTAGGCCCAAAACGTCAGCCTTCCTGCTCCTCTGATGCTGCTTGGCCTGCTGTGTTCATCCAGCTCTACACCTTGTTATCTCTTGCAAAGAATATATTTTGGCATGGAGTACAATGCTTGATAGTGGGAGAATATGGTGTACTGTATTTGACGATTGATGATACATGTATTACATTTAGTTTTGTGATGGTGTAGTGTATTAGAGTCCAAATTGAATGTACAATACACTAGTGTTCTCCTACATTGAGGAAGATAATGTAGTCGCGTTAATAGAGTTTATATTGACTGTTCTGTACCTTGTGCTACACATGTTGAAAACCATTCACTGGTCTCATTCTATTACACAAGGTCTTTTTATTAAAATATGTTTGCATGCTTCCATCAGCATCTCAAGCAATAAGAGAATCATGAGGCTCAGTGCCCAGATATTCAGGCTATTGTTGGATGGCTGGCTGTCCTTAAAGCTTTTTATGGAAGAGAACAAATATGTTGCAGCAGAAATAGAATTTATAGCACAGGAAGCCCACTATTCAGTCCCATTAAACCACGTTCATGCTTATGCTCCCACGAGCTTTCTCCCACTTGTCTTCATCTCACTTCAACTCAATCATTTCATTCCTTTCTCCCTTATGTCCTTATCTATCTTCCTGTTAAACATATTGATACTCTTTGTCTCCAATATTAGTGGTAGTGAGATCCGTATTCTAACCATGCTATGGGAAAAGAATTTCTCCTGAATTCCCATTGGAATTATTGGTAACTTTGGCTTTGTAATTTTGGCCTCTGTATTTGCTCTGCACTGCAATTGGGAAAACATTACACCAAATCAAAAACCATCTTGTAAAACCCTTGATTAGGTCTTCCATCAGCCTTCTCCTTTCTAGAGAAAAGCCCTAGCCTTTCATGAGAACTTGTCTTTCATGAGAATTTGCTCAGTTCTGATTTCACTCTTGTAAATATTTTTCCCCTTCTTCACAGCATCTATATTCCCTTCGTAATACAAAGTCCAGAATTGGTGCAGTACATCAAATGATTTTTTTTTGGAAGAAGAGCAAAGAGCAATTATGGTGTTTTTCGAAATTGGACAATAAGCGACTGGAATACTTTTTAGATGTTTGAGCTGTATTCTGGAGTTTCAGACTAAGTAAAATAAGTGTGGTGGCTCAGTGGTAATCACTGCTGCTTCTCAGCGCCAGGGCCCCAGGTTCGATTCCACCCTCGGGTGACTGTCTGTATGGAGTTTGCACGTTCTCCCTGTGTCTGCGTGGGTTTCCTCTGGGTGCTCCAGTGTCCTCCCACAGTCCAAAGATGTGCAGGGTAGGTGGATTGGTCATGCTAAATTGTCCATAGTGTTCAGGGATGTGTAGATTAGGTGGGTTGTAGGGGGATGAGTCTGGGTGGGATGCTCTGAGGGGTGGTGTAAACTTGTTGGGCCAAAGGGCCTGTTTCCACGCTGTAGGGATTCTATGATAAGTGTCTTTGTGGGCAATTTGTTCATTCAGCGTGTGGTTGTAAAATCAATAGAGGAGGTTTGCAGTATTCCTTATGGTGATTAATGCTCGTGGATAAGTCTTTAGTCTCAATGCCAATTTAGTGCTGAAGTTTATGATTGATCTATTGATCAGATCAGATCAGATTTTATTTATTATCATGTGTATCTGAGTACAAGAGTACAGGAGTTCAGCGAAACATGTGCAGAGTTGCTCAATGCACATCCGATTGCAATATTGCCATCACCTTTTTTCACCCAGTCATATGTTCATATGTGGTGGGTTATTGATTAAAGACCAGGCTTTAGTCATAAGGATAGAGGACCAAATACTTTGAGAGGACTGCCCTTTTGCACTCACTCTTCAATACTTTCAGAGACACTGGAAGAAACTGCGTAGGATTATGCACCATATGTGGAGGCCTAAGATTGTGCAAAAATACCTTATCAGTGAGGAATTATTATTAACAATGTAAATGCATCAAATATGCTATTCTACATGATTGGATTATTAAAGCTGTATGATCAGTTTTATGATGTAGAGTTGCTACCAAAATGAGAGCCTTCTTGCTCTTCTTTAGCAAGTGGTTCGTGTAGTGCATTGATAGGGTCCCTACCTCTGAACCAGAAGGTCTGGGTTCAAATCCCATCTGCCCAGAAGTGCATCATAACAGGTTGATTTTAAAAAATAACATTAGCTGTCATCAAGTCCAAACATCAGGTTAGAAAATTTAGCTTGCTTCATTTAAAGAAAAATATAAAGCAAATCCATTTTCTCGTACCATTTTACTGTCTATTTTCTCACATTCACTTTCTTCCAAAAATGTTGACATATATTTGTTTTCTTCTTGGGAATTAGTCCAACATTTATAGCTCGTTTGTGGATGAACTGACTGAATACCAAACGAAGAGTATTCTCGCTACCCCCATAATGAATGGTAAAGAGGTGGTCGCTGTCATCATGGCAACTAACAAAACATGCGGACCTTATTTTACTGAACACGATGAAGACGTAAGCCTTCCTTCATATATGTATTGGAGTAGATTGATATGTAATACAATTATGTTTGCAACAATTCACTTATCAATGGTCAATTCTTTTTCAGCTTTTCTTGAAATATCTCAACTTTGCCACCTTGAACCTCAAAATCTATCATCTGAGCTACCTTCATAACTGTGAAACAAGAAGAGGCCAGGTAAAAATTCCTTTGGGATACCATAGATGTCGGCACATTAGTTGACCTTTGAAGCCTCAAAACATCTCTCCAAAACCTGAGGTTGACATATACGTCGAGTGTAAAGCTAAAATGCCAATATGGGTGTGGGTGGTTGCCATCTGAAATGTGATCAGCATCTGATTCAATCAATGGACATGTTTTAAACTCTCGGACACCCTCACAACCCAACCTGCCTTGCCTGTCAGATCCCTTGCACTCAGTTATAAGGGACTGGTAAGTAAAATATTAGGCTGACTAATGCCTTCATAGTATGTGTGTGGCCAAAAAGGGATGTCAATGTATATGCTGAGTCTATGCATAAATGGCAGAAAAATGGGATTGTCTTATTCACCAGGTCAGCTTATACAATATTATTTTTGGTAACTGGATATTTGAGGTACATCTACATGACTGAGTGACAGTTTGGGATGTCTGGTGAAAATTGTGAAGAGTTTGCCGTTTGTGGTCAGAAAAGTGCATTGGATTCTTGAGATATAGTAGGAACTACAGATGCTGGAGAATCTGAGATAACAAGGTATAGAGCTGGATGAACACAGCAGGCCAAGCAGCATCAGAGGAGCAGGAAGGCTGACGTTTCAGGCCTAGACCCTTGTGGATTCTTGTTTTTTTTACAAATATAGAAGAAAACTCACAATCGATTTGGACTAAATAATTTTTACAAAGACAAAGGTAGCTAAGGAAACTGCTTCATTTTACATCCTGGAATGTCAATGACATGGAATGTAAGGCCCTAAGACTGCACAAAAAAATCCTACAGAGACCCAGTTCAGCAACTATGGAAAAATGAGCACTTCTATTTAAGCAGTTTCCCAATTGGAATGGTAGACCTTTTGAACCCTGACATAAATAACATTTTTATTCCAAGTTTTTCCAATTTCCGTTTATTCCTTGATACCCCTATTTGTTAAATGAATATTAGTCTTCCCTTTTACACTCTGGCTTTGGAATTTGAGGTTGCTAATTTTTGGATTTATCCTTGCTTTTGAGGAGGTTAGGTACCCAGAATTACTGACATTGAGCCTTTGCTGTCATTATAATTGTGTGAAATGTAGAGTAAAATTATGTGGCTGCTAGTGTCACAGCATAACTTATGCAGAGGGATTCCGAAATATCTTTGTTCATCAATGTCCCCAATCACCCACAGCCAGGACTTTCTCATTGCATTGTACTCACTGTTATAATTTATATGTCCGTAATAAGTTATTTCACACTTTGTCCTGTCGGTGGTATTTGAGTTAAAAATTCAAGCCCTGCTCCTGATACTTAAGAATACAATCTGGGCTGTCACTTCAGTTCCATCCTGAGGGGATGTTACACTGTCAGGGGCGCTAGGCTTTGTTTGAGAAATCAAACCGTGTTATTGTCTCTCTCCTCATGTGGTTCGAAGTGAAGTCATGGTGCCCTTTGAAGAAAAACAGAAGAGTTCTTCTACAGGCCTGGCCCAAAATAATCTCTTAACCAAAGCCACTAAAAATAGAGCAACTAGCTAGTTATCTCAGAGTTAGTCAGGCCTTGCCTACATCAAAACAATGATTATATTTCAAACAGTTTGCTTTGAAATGGAGCACATTGGAACAGTCTGAGGTGATGTAAGGCACTATATAGAGTCATAGAGTCAACTAGTCCCACTTGCCTGCATTTGGACCATATCCCTCTAAATCTTTCCTATTCATGTACCTATCCAATTGTCTTTTAAATCTTGTAACTGTATCCGCATTTATCACTTCCTCAGGCAGTTTGTTGCACACACGAACCACCCTCTGTGTGAAAAAGTTGTCCCTCACATCCCTTTTAAACCTTTCTCTTCTCACCTTAAAAATAAACACATTCTTTCTTGTTTGGACGTTAAACTGCAAGTGTCAATGCTCCATCCATCCACTTAAACTACACCCAGTTGTAATTTTATGCTACGACCTCAGAAGAACCTCATTTCCTCCATTCCAGAAATGCCTATTTATCCTCATTCTTTGCTTCATACCATCCAATCAGGTTTCTATACAATGAACAAGATTACTCCCAATTAAGCAGCTAACAATCCTTGGCTAACAATCTTTTCATATAATCATTGAGCAGTACAGCAAAGGGGGAGGCCATTCAGCCTCTAAGTTGAGTTTGCACCTTTGAAGAGCAATCCCACCTTCAGGCTTTCTGTCTTTCTACATCCTTGCAATATGTTCTCTTTAAAATATTTATCCAATCCCTTTCCAAAAGCTGCTATTGATGCCACCTCCTTACCAGGCAATATATTCTAAATTCTAACCGGGGTAAGAAAAACTATTTGTTTCTGGTTCACTCACCCATCAGTTTAAATCTGTGCCCTCTGGTTCTCCCCTTTTCACCACTGGGACCAGTTTCATTTTATTTATACTGCCTAGGCACTTCATCATTTAAACATTCTTATATAACCCTTTAAGGTTTTACTGAAATTTATTTTTATTCATTCATGAGATGAGGGTGCTAGTCATCTCTATTGCCCATCTCTAATTGCCTAGAAGGCAGTTAAGAATCAATCAAGCACATTGCTGTGGGTCTGGAGTTATGTGTAGGCCAGACCAGGTAAGGATGGCAGTTTCTTTCTCTAAAGGGCATTAGTGAACCAGATGGATTTTTTTTTCAGACAGTCAACAGTGGATACGTGGTCATTATTAGACTCTTAATTCCAGATTTTGTTCTTTATTGAATTCAAATTCTACCATCTGTCATGGCAAGATTTGAAATCAGGTCCCCAGAATATTACCTGGATCTCAGGATTAACATTCAAGTGATAATGCGCTAAAAATACACATTAGCTGGACATTCATTTATCTTCCTTCACCTCCAGACTCAGAGACTGTCAAAGAATTTCATAATATTAGACACAAAAGATAGAATTAAAAGTTATCACAGCCAGTGACAGCAACTGCTGTAGTTTCTGGGTAAAACATCACTGCCAATATAATGTGACTAGAGCATTTGCTATGTGTTAGCCCTTGTAACATATACCACAAAGACTGGGTTCTTGTTGAGACAGATGTCTTGAAGTTTAAAAGCACTAACCATTTACACTGCTATAAGATTGCAGATGTCCATTAAACATACATGTGATTACATCGAGCAACGATACAGGAATTGCTATGACTATTATTACTGCTGCTGAAGGAGAGACAGTGCCTTTCTCCTGGAAGGTCACATCGGTGATGCCATTTAACTAGCTTAAAGGTACTCTGCCTGTCTAGTCTGCGATCTATGTAATAATTACACCAGCAACTACAACCCCTGCCAAACTATCGGGCACAATGCAGGAACAAACTTGACCCCAGGTCTCATGGACATTAACTGGGTAAGCTACCAGAGTCTGAAATGAAAACAGAATGTGCTGCAGGAAATCAGCAGGTTGGCAGGATCTGTGGAAAGAGAGAGAAACACTTAACCTTTTGAGTTCAATGTGACCCTTCTTTGGGACCAAATGAACATTGGGCTGTTTGCCTCACTGACTGTGAACCCATGATATGAGTCAGGAGGGTGAAGGGTTTTTAGTGGTAAGTGTGATTGGGAAACCAGTGGGATACCATTACTGTCAAGAAAGCATTCCTGCTCTCTTGGCTTCTTGCAACCATTTACAAAATATATACATTTATAATTCTAAATATTTGTTAATTATGAATACTGCTGAGACAACAGATGCCATTGATCATTGAAGGGACCCTGAACAGCTGTTCTGTTCTTCAGAAACTAATTGGCCAGAAGGGTTCCTTAAACTGCGATTAGACTAACTATTTATATAGGCAAGACACCAATTTTAGATGACTATCCTAATTTGTCATTGTTTTGCCTGTTTTATCCCTGGAAAATACATAAGTTGCATACAAATTTTGACCTGAATTTGTCATTCAGCGAACCATTCTTCCTGAACACGTTCTTGTGAGAGAATGAAATACTGGACATGTTTAATTCTGAAGAAAGAATAGAAAATGCTGCAAACACTTAGTCAGGCAGCATCTGGGGGTGAGGGAAACAGAATTAACATTTCACATTGTGAGCTATCATTAGGGCTGAGAAATGTAAAAAGATATAATAGGTTTTAAATGCATGCACAGGCAGGGAAAAGGGGTCGGTAGGGCAAGAACAAAAGGGAAGTGACAAGAGGGTTGAAGACAAGGGAGATTACTTGATGAGCAAGATAGTGATTCGGTTGAGGCAAAGTGAAATGGGAAACGGACAAGAAATGAAAGATTGTTCTTGGGGACAGGATGTATGGATAAAAAGCAGGATCATTACAAACGGCTGTTGTCCAAAGAAGTGAGATTAAAGATCATGATCAGAGGTTGTTGAACTCAGTGTTGAGTCTGGAAGCCTGAAATATACTGAATTAAAAAATGAAATACTGTTTCCTGCATTTACACTGGGCTTCATTGGAACTGTGTAGGAGGTTGACCACATGGAGGTCAGAGTGGGACTAGAAGGGAGAATTAAAATCAGTTAGTTGGAAGCTCAGAATCAGGCTTGCAGACTGAAAGAAAGGTGTTCAGCATTTGCTATTCCAGTGAATACATGTAATGTGTTCTGAAGCGTCAAATGCTCCGTTGGCCCTAAATGTTCAGTGATACTACTCACTCAGTGTGCCATAAGTGGCTAAGATGTGATTTACAGAATGTCAGTCTTTTACAAATTTACCACTAAGTCTCTGCAAATATAATTGTAGCAATAGAAGTCTCGGCATGAATACTAGATCCAATGAAGAAGATCTGTGTAAGTCCTGGATGATTTTATGACCTGTGATCCATAGTGTCCCCTTCACACTGCAAACAGAGTATCTGACGTTGGTCTTCTGTCAAACCCTTAAAATCACAAATGTTTTGTACTCTGTGAAAAGAGGTTAGAATAGATGGCTAAAAATTGTGTTATTTGCAAAGATGACCAAAGTCATTAGTCACACATACGCTGCAAGGATTTACACTCTAAGTATAGGTTTTAGGTAGGAAAAAGACAAGGGTCATAAGCTTGGGAGCTGAACCCCAGGCTGGGGACATGAACAAGGCATTGCTGAGAGCTTCTATCCCTGTCCCTGCCCCTGGAGCAGAGTTCAATAATTCTTCAATATGTTTTTCTCCTTCGCAACAGTTGGATTGATATTAAAATTTTTGATGTCCTAGACGCTTTATCTGTATGTTCTACACATTATAATTTCAGTGCCTTATAGTTCTAGTGGCTAATATTTGAACACAGACCTGTTCAGTGACCATGCACAGCAATCACTATGAGCCCATTTCTACAGTAAATAAGGCTGGCTCCCTCTTCTCTTTCCTTGATGAGACGAGAATGTTGCAGGCAAGGCCCTCATTTATTGTCCATTGCTTATTTCCCATCACTAATTGCCTTTCTGAAAGTGGTAATGAGCTACCTTCTCAAACCCTTGAAGTCCACGTTGTGCAGGTACATCCCTGGGTGGGTTTCATCTGGGTGCCCTGATTTCGTCTCACAGTCCAAAGATGTGCAAGTTAGGTGGATTGGCCATACTACATTGGCCATAGTGTCCAGGGGTTTGTAGGTATGTGATTGGCCATGGGAAATGCAGGGTTATAGGATAGGGATGGGGTGAGTCTGGGTGGGATGCTCTCCAGATGGCTGATGTAGACTTGTTGGGCCAAATGGCCTATTTCCGCACTGTAGGGATTCTATGAACGATGATTTTCAATACAGGATGGTCTGTTAATTAGAGGGGAAGTTTCAGATGCTCGTCTTCCCATGTATTTGCCGATGTCCTTCCAAGTGGTAGAGGTTGCAGGTTTGGAAGATACTCTTAAAAGAAGCTTGGTGATTTGCTGCCATGTGTCTTGAATTTGGTACATGTTGTTTTTCTGTGTACCAGTCATGGGTAGTTTAAATGCTTAAGGTGCTGATGTGGTGTCAGTTCAGGGCATTGCTTTGTTTTGGATGATATCAAGTTTCTTGTGTGGTTGCAACTGTGGAGAGTATTCTATCACATTCCAGGCTTGTGCCTTGTAAATGGTGGATTGTTTTGGTGAGTTACTCATACCAGAGTTCTCAATTCTGACCTTCTGTTGTAGACATAGTATTTATATGCCTGGTCCAATTAAGTTTCTGGTCAGTGGTAACCATCAGGATGTTAAGGGTGGGGTGGTGTCTGTGATGCTAAAGTCATCGAATATCAAGGGGGGATAGTTAGATTCTCTCTTGATAGTGATGGTCTTTGCTTTGCATTTGTGTGGTGTGAATGTTAACTTGTATGAAGACTGATTTCTCATGTGAGAAATTGCAAATGGTACTGGTCACTGTACAAGCATCCCCATTTCATGCCTTATGATCAAGGAAAGATCATTGATGAAGTTTTGGAGATAGGTGAATCATGGACCTCACTCTGAGAAACTCTTGTCTGATGTTCTGGGGCTGAGACAACTGATATCCAACTTCAAGCCATCTTCCTTCGTGCTAGGTTTTACTCTGATCAGTGGACGGTTTTCCTCCTGATTTCCAGTTAATTCAATTTTTAGGAATTCTTCACATCATATTTAGTCAGATACTGCCTTGAAATCTGAGGCAGTTACTCTCACCTCAGCTTATGGAACTGAAGCACCTGGGAAAAGCTTAAGACATGCGCAAGAGAAGGTCACTGTGTGCTGCTAACTTTGTAATTTCTCCAGAAGATCCTGAATTATGAATATAGCTACCTGGCCTGCTTACTCCTGAATAGCATAAGCTCAGAATGTCGCTTGCTTTTGGTGCTGTTCTCCGCGGTGTTGATTACTTCCTCACAAAAATAATGAATAGTTCCTTAAATTTGTCGTTAGCCCTTTCTGAAGTTCTAATGTTGGAAACACTGACACTTTCATGGAAAGATCATGACAAAATGTTAATGAGATGAATGAATTAATAGTCAAAGTTACAGTCTTAGTTCTCAGCTACAGTGTACGCTTTGCTTCATTCCAAAGCTAACTTATTGACCTTATTATGTCAACGTTTCTTTGCTATTTACAGAAGGTCTATGAATCTAACTCCATTCTGCTTTCCTGTGAATATATCATAGTTGAGTTCTGTCTTTGGTTCTGTGCTCACTTGGAGGAAGTAAATTAATCAAAACATGAAACTAGCTCCTTTTATTGGGGTAGCAAATATGTCCAAAGCCGCATAATGAATCCAAATGCATCAAATTTGTTTTAATGGCATTTGTTGTAAATGTACCATTGTTATTCCATCAAAGTACACTACTAAGGCTGGGAAGAGGAGACCACCAGATCTAGCTCACCACCGCCTTCTTAAGAGCAACTGGGGACAGGCAATAAATGCTGGCCAGCCAGAACAGTCCATGTCCCACCAGCGAATAAAGAAAGAATAATGTTTGTGCTCCTCTTGAAACCTGGTTCAATGCTACTCCAATGTACGTCGTGATGTTTTATTCTAATACGATTTTATCTCTTCTGTTCCTGTAGGTTCTTTTGTGGTCAGCAAACAAAGTATTCGAAGAACTGACAGACATTGAGAGACAGTTTCACAAGGCTCTTTACACAGTCCGAGCCTACCTAAACTGTGAGAGATACTCAGTAGCACTCCTAGACATGACAAAGCAGAAGGTTTGGATCATGTTTTGTATATTACTTCATGATCTAAGTATTTTGTCTTTGTGAACTAACATGTCAGACCTTGGTTAATGCAGAAAATAATTGGGTGATATATATTGAATAATGGCCTCCAGTATTCTGGAACAAACAAATAAAATCCAGCCTCAACATTTGTTTTACAGCAGCTGAAAGGTTTCTTTGCAATTGCAAGGCAATTTGTTGTGGACACCTTGACACTCCAGTGTTTTGATTCCTCAGTTTCCTTAGAAGTCACATGACACATCATCGATAGCCACAGGTGAGGTGCTGGAAGACTGGAGGTTGGCTAACGTGGTGCCACTATTTAAGAAAGGTGCTAAGGAAAAGCCAGGGAACTATAGACCGGTGAACCTGACATTGGTGGTGGGCAAGTTGTTGGGAATTTTGAGGGACAGGATTTACATGTATTTGGAAAGGCAAGGACTGACTAGGGAGAGTCAACATGGCTTTCGGTGTGGGAAATTGTCTCACTAATCTGATTTTTTTGAAGAAATAACAAAGAGGATTGATGAGGGCAGAGCAGTGGATGTGATCTATATAGACTTCAGTAAGTCGTTCGCCAAGGTTCCTCATGGTAGACTGGTAAGCAAGGTTAGATCACATGAAATACAGGGAGAACCAGCTATTTGGATACAGACCTGGCTCAAAGGTAGAAGACAGAGGGTGGTGGTGGGGGGACCAGTTTTCAGACTGGAGGCCTGTGACCAGCGGTGTGCCATAAGGATCGGTGCTGGGTCCAATGCTTTTTGTCATTTATATAAATGATGTGGATGTGAACATAGGAGGTATGGTTGGTAAGTTTGCCAATGACTCAAAAATTGGAGATGTAGTGGACAGCGAAGAAGGTTACGTCAGAGTACAGTGGGATCTTGGGCCAATGGACCGAGGAGTGGCAGATGGAGTTTAATTTAGATAAATGTGAGGTGCTGCATTTTGGAAAGGCAAATTAGGGCAGGATTTATACACTTAATGGTAATGTCCTGGAGAGTGTTGCTGAAAAGAGACCTTGGAGTGCAGGATCGTAGTTCCTTGAAAGTGGAGTCACAGGTGGACAGGGTAGTGAAGAAAGTGTTTAGTGTTCTTGCCTTTATTGGTTAGTGCATTGAATACAGGAGTTGGGAGGTCATGTTGCAGCTGTACAGGACATTGGTTCAGCCACTTTTGGAGTATTGTGTGCAACTCTGGTCTCCCTGCTATAGGAAGGATGTTGTGAAACTAGAAAGGGTTCAGAAAAAAATTACAAGGATGTTGCCAGGGTTGGAGGGTTTGAGCTTCAGGCAGAGGCTGACTAGGCCAGGGCTATTTTTGCTGGGAGCATCAGAGGCTGAGGAGTGACCTTATCAAAGTTTATAAAATCATGAGGGGCATGGCTAGAGTAAATAGGCAAGATCTTTTCCCAGGGGTGGGAGAGTCCAAAATTAGAGGGCATAGATTTAAGGTGAGAGGGGAAAGATTTAAAAGGGATCTAAGGGGCAACTTTTTTAGGCAGAGGGTGGTGCATGTATGGAATGAGCTGCCAGACGAAATTGCAGAGGCTGGTACAATTACAACGTTTAAAAGGCATCTGCATGGGTATATGAGTAGGAAGGGTTTAGAGGGATGTGGGCCAAATGCTGGAAAATGGGACTAGATTTATACAGGATATCTGGTCAGCATGGACGAGTTGGGTTGAAGGGTCTATTTCTGTGCTGTATATCTCTATGACTCTGTTGACCAGGTTATAGTCCAACAGGTTTACTGGAAATTGCCAGCTTTTGTGAAGTGAAGTCCCTTCACCTGACGTAGGGGCAGTGCTTTGAAAGCTTGTGATTTCAAATAAACCTGAAGCTCTATAACCTGGTGTCGTGTGACTTCCGACCTTGTCCACCCCAGTCCAACAGCGGCACCTCCACATCTTGGTTACCATCAGTTTTCTTAACCATTGTTCAGGAGGAGTATTTCTTAAATTGAACAGTTTGGTCATCATTAGACTGAACATATTATGCTGGTTTTGTTGATTGTTTTAATGCCTTGAGTGTATTTCCTTGTTTCATGCCACTTGTTTCTGACAGTCAGGAAATTTGAGACACAGTATCCTATTCAAAAGTGATGCTCAGACAGATTGCTACAAGGACAGGAACTCTTAAAGGGAGTGAAAACAGTAAGAAAACTGCCACCAGGCCATCCAAACAGGTTGGGGACAATCGCCCAAATAAGAGATCTAGATGCAAATGTGTGCAATATAAAAATTAAAAACAAAAATTTAGAAACACTAATTCTCCTTGAGTAGTATGATTTAGTAACCATAACAGATTCCTGGATATAAACTGGACTTTACTATTCAAGGAAATATTCAAGGATCTATAGGATCAATTGGTGGAACATGAAAATTGGGAAAGGAGAGATCAGACAGACACAATGTGAGCAGTTGAAAGAAAGGAGCAGAATTTTGGCCTCAGTGTGAAAGTGGGAACATAAGAACATATAAGAACATAAGAACTAGGAGCAGGAGTAGGCCATCCGGCCCCTCGAGCCTGCCCTGCCATTTAATAAGATCATGACTGATCTTTTTGAGACTTAGCTCCACTTACCCGCCCACTCACCATAATCCTTAATTCCTTTACTGTTCAAAAATTTATCTAGCCTTGCCTTAAAAACATTCAACGAGGTAGCTTCAACCGCTTCACTGGGCAGGGAATTCCACAGATTCACAGCCCTTTGGGTGAAGAAGTTCCTCCTGACCTCAGTCCTACATCTGCTTCCCTTTGTTTTGAGGCGATGCCCTCTAGTCCTAGTTTCAACTAAACGGCTGGGCACATAATTTCACACCCCTTGCGCTAATTGACATGATTTGGGTTTTGCGACTGTGGACCCCGAATATGGAGCACAAACTACAACCCAGATTTTCAGTAAGGATGATCAGATAGCGAAAACTTAACAAACAGCAAAAGGTACAAGTCTCAAATTAGGGCTGTGCTTATTGACCTCCTGACTGTAATGAAATATTGGCAGAACATATGATTGTGGAGATCAGGGCAACCTTTAACATAAGAATGGGGTTTAATGGGAAATTTTAGTTTTCACACAGGCTGGGAGAAGTAGAACAGCTGACACTGTGCTTGTACAGTTTCATTTTCTGATACTCTTGAAAGTAGCAGACTGAGGGGAGAACCTGTCAGAGGTCTTCACAATTATGAAAGAATTTGATAAGGTAGACATAGAGAAGAACTTTCCACTTGCAGTTGCAATTAACAGAATGTGGACCATCAGCATGAGACTGTCACTAATAAATTCAGCAAGAAATTGAGGAGAATTTCTTCATCCTGCGAGCTGTTTGTATAACTCATTATCAAAAGGAATAGTTGAGGTAAATAGATGGATACAAGAAGAAAGTAGAAAAGTGTATAAGGGAGAAAAAATTAAAAGGATATATTGATGGGGTTAAATGAAGAAAGATGGGAGCTGTCTAACTTGGATCATAAACATCTCAACTTTTTCAACCCATGTCCCTTTAGATCCTAATATAATAAATCTCTGTTGACCTCAGTCTTGAAAATAGTAGTTGACCTGACATCCTTAGCTTACAGTGGGAGAGAACGCCAGATTTCTGCTACATTTTTTTGAACAAAACCTATGAATTCACTCCATCCAATGGAATCATTTCATAATTTTAAACACCACAATAATGCCAACTCCACTGCTCAAGGGAATGCAAGCCACATCTATAGAACTTATGTTCACAATGTAACTATTTAAGTCCCGGTATCATTCTGATGTGTCTGTGCCATAAACTCTCCAAAGCCAATAGAACCTTGCTAGGGTGGGGCAAATTTAATGCTATACATCAGATGGGATCTGATCAAAGCCCAGACAAATCACTTCCTTCCCTATATATTCCAACTTGCCTGATAAATGATACCATCTATTAGCCGTTTTGATTATGCGTTATGCATGTCTCTTGGCATTTTAGTGGGGCTTTTATGTATAGAGATGTAACTCCATTTGCTTCCCCATAGTTCTTAGACTTAACGTCATTAAAAAAAATATTCTGATTCAATTTTGTTGGATCTGAAGTGGATGATTGTTTTATTTTTCCACAAGGAATTCCACCTAACACAGTTTTGATCAGTCACTTAAATTTATGATCCAGACCCCGACAGCATTACTTCATGTGACTGCTAATGTGCTCAGCTCCAAATGTGGATACATAACCTCATCTCCCTTCACCCAATTCACTGACATATATGGAGAATAGCTGAAAGCCTCTCATTCTCTGACTTTGCAAGCTAAGCCACTTTTACTTGAATTTAAGCAGCTCACCAGCTAGATACAAAATGTAACTCATATGTTAACGATGCATTTGACACAACTAGTAGTTCAGTAAATGTAGGTGAGGCAGTCATTTGGTACTACAAAAATCAAGTATTGCTGCAAAAAGGCACATTTGATCAATGTCTTTTGTCTTGCATTCATATGAAATTTTGTAAAAATACCAAATCAAGAAGAAAAATCAACATTTATACTCAATGAGAGGAGAATGCTGATTGGCTGTCAAGTGGAGTTTGATAGAGGCACTGGTAGAGGCATTGCCCTGGAAAATGCACTCATTAATTCTGATTGACAGTTAACAGCCAGGCTTTGTTTAAATTTTAAACTGGACAGGTTGACATTGATTGGTCAGGGCATTGCACTGAAAAATGAGCCAACAAATGGCAGTCACCTCTTTTGTTGAGTTGAAACAGGCACAGTCTGTGAATACGTTCTTTTTGTCTGCAAAGAACAGGGTCCCATGCTTTGAATAAGTAGCTTCCAGTACACACCAAGTGTGCCATACTGCAAGCCCGATTGACAATTCTAATTTGGTTTTCAGTCTAATTCCTTGCATATTTAGGATTATCAAGCAAATGTTATCCATTTGCGGAATCATATCTAATGTTAGGCACTGTGTTGCAGGCATGAGCTGTCTAGGTATGGTCAGTACCTTGTTTGTTGCAAAAGGATCTTCTGTTCAGTACAATGTGCCAGTCTTTGGGACACATGGCCTATATACTGGCATCACACTGGCACTAAAATTCATATACCACATTACTCTTTGTGTGGCAGGTAGAACATCTTTCTGGTTTGATGGCATCATGCTGTTAGTAGCGAATGCCTCTCGTGTTGCTCCTGTATAAAAGCAGCATGAAACAGCTAGCTTCACCCGATGCTCAAACATTTGGGATATGTTACCTTTCCGGGTAATCTAAGACAGACTGGACAATTCTCAGGGCCAAGAATGACCTGATATCAGGGTCACAAACATGAGTTGTTGCATCTTATGGGCCTTGATGCCTGAAAGGAAAAGAAAAAGTTTCTTGTTAGCACGACGATATCAGGGTAGCCATTTTCCTGCAGGATGGCTTTGATGTGCCCTAATTCAACATTAAACTTGCATGCTGAACAAACAGCTTGGGTCCTACTTGAAAGGTTTCCAATAAGACCAATCTCATAGCATGTCAACCTGGGAATCCCAATCTGTACACTGACCAGAGAAAGTAGATTTGCAGTGGTCAGTAGTAGAGAAACCCCCTGGCTGGTTTCTGAACTAGGACATCATGGGCAGTGAGCTCATTTGACTGGACTAATTTCACATGGGAATTTCAATGCCCTGTGATACTGATGAAGACATTTAAAACATTTCCTACATACAGCTGTGGATTCAAACATATCACATGTATTATCGGAAGTATGGAAGAGGTAGGAGATTAGATGTCATTTCATCGAAGACGCATCTCACTGTTGTCAGAGCTGACAAGCAGAGCATAAACAAGTTTCTCAGTCAATGACAGGCCTCAACACTGGTATCCCCAGTTTCCATTCTCTGCCAGCCACTCAGAGCGGGCACGTTTCTGTCCTTAATCCTGGTGGTCAATGCTAGCTGCTAGGGAGATCTGCCAGTGAGAAGGTAAGTACTTTTTATCTCTTCTCGTGGGATGGGATCACAGGGAGAAGTGGATTGGAGATAAAAGCAGAAGTGCTGCTTTCACAGGTAACGCCCTTGCCCCTTATCCATATCCCTGATTGCCCCCAGATTGCTGGTCAACTGCAGCCTGGCATATTTCAACTGCAAAACCCAAGATTTGACTGGTCTTCCATGAATTTGAGTCGAGAATTGTCTCTTGGAGATCAAATTGTAATATTCAGAGGGTATCCTACCTTCCTGAAATGTCCTGTAAAACAGAATGTCTATTATCTCCATGGTGCATTGTAATGTTTTCATGATGTTCCTGCCTTTGTAGTAGCTCTCCTAGTTGTGTGTTATTCTCTCCACTCTATGAATTTTATAATAAGCATGTTTTATAATAAGCGAATTGACTGATTGTTATTTCCTTTGCAGGAATTTTTTGACCTGTGGCCTATACAGATGGGGGAAGTACCTCCTTACCAAGGTCCCAGAACTCCTGATGGCAGAGTATGTTTTAACCTTGTTCGATGTGAACGTTCAAGGATTCTGATTAAAAAAAGATTTTGTGTGGCATGCTCATAACCGCAGCAAAAGTAACTTCCAGTCAATAAACTACAGTTGCTGTTATACTGTGATCAGCCAGTGTGCAACAGAAAACCACAATGAACAGATATATTACTTTAGTAATAATATTGACTAGAACTCCCCTGTTCATGTTTGGAACAATGTCATAAAATCTCTTTTTGAGAGTTCACACAGTGCTGTGTTTGAACAGCTGACACAGCACCGTTGACAGTACAGCACTCTCTCAGCAGTGCACAAGGAACATCAGCCTAGGTTTTGCATTTATGTCTCTGGAATGTACTTGAACCCACAGGCAGAAGCCTTCCAATCTTGCTCAGCCCTCTGCCTGAGGCAGTCATTTAACAGACTGCTCCTGTGCTCTCTGATCAAATAGGGATGGTGAAGGGGCACGTGGGATAGAGTTGGGAGTGGGGGTGCCAATCAGAAGGCTCAGTGGAAGACCGACCAGCAGTCCCACTGGGGGAGGTCAATGCTGTGCTGAGTGAGACCGAATGAGATACCTCAAAACAGAGGTGCTCATAAAAAAGGGTGAGGAAGGATTGTTCAAACAGAAAGCCTCAAATTGTCAGGGCCATCAGTGCGGAGGAGGAGAGCCTCCATATAAATATGTTTGAGTGCGGATGTATCACTTTCCATTTTTGGGATCATTTAGAGCAGCCTCAGCTCCTGAATGTACTCTGACCTCCCTCCGTGAAGTCACCTCAAAGGCCTTGCTAAGCTCCAGACACCCCTCAAGGCCTGTATGCTGACATTGAGATTTCAATCCATTGACACAATATTGGATCCTTTACTGTCTAAAGTAAGGATGTCAGGGCAGGTTGCCTAGCTACCGAGCATCTACCTCCAGAGAAAGCCCATGGAGGAGGCCTTCCAGAGGCATTGCATTCCAGATTTCCACAGCCTTTCTCCCAATCCTCCATTTTCACCAGCTTCACTTTCAAGGGTTTGGGAACATAATGGACAATGACTAAGAAGGCAAGAGTGATCACAATTAAGCCAAAGCTGACACAAACTGTTGCAGGTTATAAAAGAATGGTGATACGCAGCATATCATTATTGTCAGGAGTTTCATCTATTGTTGGTTTATTATCTCTATTGTTATACTGTAGGAAATAATCTTTCACAAAATCATTGACTACATTCTACATGGGAAGGAGGAGATTAAAGTCATTCCGTAAGTTTTAGACATGTCTCAATTGACAATTATATCTCCCGTGGGAATAATCATCCAGGTGCAGAATTTGTGATTTTCTCTGTATTTTCTGTAGAACTCCACCTGCTGATCACTGGGCCTTGGTCAGTGGACTACCAACATATGTCGCAGAGACTGGCTTAGTAAGTTTTGTTTTCAGAGCTGTTCAAGCATTTTATTAACTGCGATAAATTGGAAATGTTCTGGAGAAGGGCTTTGAGATTGAACCTTAGGAGAAGGACCATCAACTTCTTAGACAAGAGAAGCACTTATTGTGCTGAACATTATTTGGTGCCCCGGTAGGAACTTCAATGTTGGAACGTAATGCTGCCTGGGAGGCAGGTTTGGATGTGGAAAGGGTAGAGGGTTAGATGGTGGGTGAGGATGCATGTTATTGGCCAGGATAGTGCAGAATGAAGATTCTTCATACTTCCTTTAATTTCCACCAGGGCAGAAAGGCCCAAGGATGATCCTCCTGGCTAAAGGACGATTGAGACCCCTTTAAGGTGACCCTTACATGTCTCATTCCACTACCACTGGGCATCTGACACATGGGCAACCCACCAGGTAAACCCTGGCATGTAAGTTGGTGCCTTAATTGGTGGATGGCAGATTTCCTTTACTTGGGCAGCGCAGTGACCACTGGCGATAGTTGTGAAGGCACGGGAGACCCCTGGGTGAATCCACCAGGCTGCCCTCAATTACAGGTACCCCACCTCCCACAACACCCCACCCCTGACCTTGGCAGGGCTTCCATGAATGACCCTGATAGACCCACCCCAATCACCTTACTCCTGGGACTGCACAGCTATGATTATGTTCACTCTGTTGGTATAGGTCTGCCATGGTTAGCAACTCTAACTCCAGAACATCCTCCTGGTGCTAGGATTTTTTGATGAAATTCCCCTCACGGGAGCCAGGAGGCCCAAAGTAACCAACAAGTAGGTAAATCCCAGATCAGGCCTTACTCTGATTGGGCCTCCTGAAAATGACTGCAGCTGAGTTGTCACTGTTTATCCAGCCAGAGGATCCTAGTGTGACTATTAAAGGCTGCCCAACTGCAGCCACAAATTAAAAACAAGGCCTTTCTCCATAGAATATATTCCTTGCTATTGAAAGATTTTGCAATTGTCAAAACAAAGAGAGTTTCAGAAAGTGGCAGGTTCTGAAAGGGCATGGGATTCTTCAGGATTCTTTCCAAAGACTGAGAATGCCAACAAATACAATTAAGATAACACAAAAAGGTCAATTGGGAAATCTCCCAGTTTCCAATCTTGTGTCCTTTCTTCCTTGATCTATTAGCAGAATTGAGGACATGCTACTGTTAAAAATGTTGCTAAGGAGAGCACTAAGTGACTCTCTTTCCAATTGTCCAATTATGGAGAGGATTAGAAACCCTTTCTGGATTCACCAGTGGCACGACCACAATTGGAATTTTAAAATGTGTTGGAAATGATAATTGACAGTGGGGAATGCACTGTTCCCCGCTACTCAATCACTCCTGACTTTAAAAAGTCTTCTTGGAATGATTTTCCTCCAGTAATATTGTTTCAATTATTTATCTTCGCAGATCTGCAATATCATGAATGCAGCAGCAGATGAAACATTTACCTTCCAGGTAAAAAGACCCATTCATTTGAAATAAAAACCATTCAATATTAAATTTCATTATCCAGGAGCACAGAATGGCAAGACATCGACTGAATGAATCTGTTCAGATTCATTAAATGCTGATGTAATAACTGCTCTGCTTCAAA